CCCCTCCCCCCTACTAGCAGGACATCGTGATCGAAGATACACAGAACGACCGCAACGCGGGATCGTTAGTGTAAAATCCTAAACTATCTTCAATAACCGACCGCCATACTCGCGGCCGTACGAAAGCAAAGTGGTAGTATACGAGTATGGAAGCGACGCATTAGTGAATTAGCGTTTCCTGCCGTTGCAATCAAGGTAATGCGCCTCTACGGCACGTGCTACGAGCCTCTATCTCTCTTCCTCTTCCTCCCTCCCTCTCTCTCCGCTCGACGATTCTCTCGTCGGATGCGCTCGGATAACCGCTCCGCCTTTCCCCGTGTATACACTGTGTATCCCGAGACAATTAATAATTCAAGATCTTGGAAGGATTGAACAGGCGCGTTTAACGGGGAACGAGACCCTTCCACCGACTCTCGATTGCTTATCCCGGATTAATAAGTGACTTCGGATATCGGGATGCCTCCCTAATTGCCGATCTCCGATAGGTAACGGATGAATAGATCGATTTCAGTTGCGCGTTGTATTGGTTCGTGGGATGGGGACGTATGCCGGAAGAATTAGGGGGGAAAGTTAATAAAGATACGAAGGAAAAGGAATACGCGGTTATTTCCTTTAATGGGAGATAATCGATATCAATGTTTTTTAAGCACCGATTAAACGCACTGAATTCCACGGAATTGATTTTTAATTTTCCGTGTAATTTTGGAAGATTATTCTTAAGCATTGAGGATTTAAAATTGTTTTAAAATTGTTAGAAGAGAGACGATGGATTGATATGATATAGAAGAGGAGGATGTTAAACGTAGAGGAATTATAAGACGGTGTAGAATGCGACGATGTAATTATTCGAAAGGTAAGCAAACTCCTGCAAGTGAGTGTTCTGTGGCAATCGTATGCGCGCGCAACCGCGACTAACTTCAAGCAGTTGTCACTTCGAAGATGTACCGGTGATCGCGTTTCGACGTTTTCGTGATTTTCGTAGGAAAAATTCTTAGTGTTTTCCTAAAATGTTTTGTGAAGTGTTGTTATTCACCGTTTTGTTTAGTATTTGTGCGCCTAGACAGATGTTGATTCAACAAGAGCAACGCGGAATATTAAGGTACGATTGATATTCTTATGCAGCTTTTTCTCACGTCTTTCTTACGTCTTTTATAACGTATCCGTTAGAGGTTAGATTTTTAACTTTCGCGATGTATTTATTAGCAACGTTATTAATCCGTTGTTTCTTATTCGATTTCTTAATTATATTTATCCTATGATTCGCCCAATCATAAGTGATGAGAAAAAGAATCATATTTTCATGTTGTTGATAAAACCGAATACATATTCCATTCGATAGAATGAAAAAGAAGAAAGAAAAAAAGAGCGAGATTCGTTTCACGTTGCGCACAACCGGACACTGATTGAATTTCGCGTTTGTCAAAGTGCACAATGTATGAGGGTTTTTTTTTTTTTTTTTTTTTTTTCACTTGAAAAACTTTAAACGTTCTAGAATTCAAATCGTTTTCAGAAATCCGTGGTTCAATCAACAAAACGTTTATAAACGTCGAAGCCGTAAAACTTTACGGATCACGAACTTTTCGCGGCGTTGATCTCTTTCATTGCATCGCGTCCAATATGTGCACTTTCAATTTCTGAAAATCCTGTTATTCCGTTATTATTTTTCGAATCGTACGTACGTATAAATAATCATTATCGAATCGAAAAATAATTTTTACGAAAATCTCATATGAAAAATTATTTTATTATCTTCGAATTGGAAAGCTAAAATAAATAGAATAATTTTATTCTTTCAGCTTAATTAAATTGTTTTATACAATAAAAAAAAAAACTTTCCACTATATTTCTAAAAACAAATCATCGAAAAAAAAAATCTCATCGACAAACTTGACAAGAGTCTTTCTCTCTACAAATCCGTTAATTATCACGAAAACTCCAATTTCAAATAATTCCATTACATCCTAAAACCCTCGAATAAATTTTAATCGAACAACGGTTACGAATACAGATTCGCGCCGCTACCAATTCTAATTTCGTATAATAATCTCCATTCACATTTTTATTCACATTTATTTATTTTCTTTTTCCTTCTTTTTTCGAAAGTGAACGTATCGCCGTGACACTCGCGCCGAGTTAGGCGAGAGAGCGACATCCATTATTTCCGATCTCCATTCTCAGCCCTCCCCCGCGGTAAGAGTGCTCGAACGCGAATTCATTGTTATCACTTGTCGTTTCCGTAATCACTTTGCGCCCATCTCTCGCCCATCGAGCCGAACACTGTCTGTCCGCGCGACTGAAACGCGTCGAATAATTTCACCGAGTGACGGCCAGTCACGGTTGACGCGGGTCCACTGGCGTTTTCACTGGCAAGTTGTTTCAATGGCAACCGGTTATATATATAGGGTGTTCATTTTTCCTCGCATCTTTCTATTAACCCGACGATCATGGAGGGAACGATTAAGGCGCACGATTTCCATCCAAATAATTTTTCTGCAATTTGTGATTTATCATATTATATTTTATATTATTAGCCAAGTGTGAAATTAATTATATAAAATTTTTTCTTTCCATATTAGCAATCCTCTGGAATGATATATAGTATTATTTAAAGATACTTTTTTACTTAAATAAAAAAAAAAATTTGAAATCGCTTTTCATATTTAGAATTTCATTATCGAAAAATCATTAAAATCAGAAATTTAATGCTGCAACTTTGATTATTAATGTTAGAAAAAAATTAAGATGAGTTAAAGCTCGAAGCTCGCATAAAGGACCGTGGGTGATCGTCGCAACGAACGAACACCCTGTATATATCCCGTGACAAAACTATTTTTCCACGCCCATCGAACGCGAAATCATTCATACGGATAGGGATGGAATTGGGTTACTCCAATCAATGTTCTGCACATTTCGAACTTTTTTCCCTTCCTTTGAGCTAATCGAGCTTTAAAGCGCTCGAAAATGTACAATCCCCCTTAACATTAATTCACCTTCCATCGAAACGAGATACGAATGATGGCGATAGAAAAATCGATGAAAAATTGAATTGGTTTAAATTGTTGCTTTTATCAGCGCGGTTGGTTGTTGATTGTTCGCGTG